ACACACACACACACACACACACACAAGCTCGGCGCTGTGGGTGTCCCTGCCTGGCAGAGGCCCCAGCACAGAGAGGATTAGAGAGATGAGCTAATCTGGTTTGTATCCCAGACATGGCCCCAGAACGGGACCTTGCCTACCCTGATGTTAAGGGGTTGCAGGAATGAGTCTTCCTTTTGGGGCCTGCTGGCTGACAGTAGCAGACTCCTCCCCACGGGCGGGCGCCCCAGATGTGCTGGAGTCCAGCTTAGGGAGCAGAGAAACAGAGGCCGAGAAGAGAAAGCGCCCGCTGGGAGCAAGGAGAGGCCCGAAGAGGCCCCACTCGGGGAACAGGCCGAGGCTTCCACCCTCCCACGTGAGCAGCGAGGAAACTGAGGCCAGGAGGGGAGCGTGACCTCAGAGTGACACAAAGAGCGCACAGCTGTGTGTGTGTGGGGGGGGGGTGCGCCAGGGAACATTGCAGGGTTCTGATTTCCTCCGCCCAGTGCCCAGCTTGCAGGAGCTGCCAGGGAAGGTGTGAGCCGAGGTGAGAGAGACAAGAAACAAGGGTACACACCGAGAAAAATAGAAAATTACTGAGGGGAGATTGTGGCACAGAAGAATGGGGAGAGAGATACAGACCAAAAAACAGAGACTGATAGATAGGGAGGCAGACACCGACATAAGGAGACAGGCGGACAAGACAGTCTCAAAAGGAGGAGTCAGAGAAGACAGAGAGGCGGCACGGGGACAGCATGGCAGTGACCTGAGGCAGGTACGGTGGATGGAGGCAGACAGTGGACTCTGCAAGCTTTTGTCCACTGGAGAACCAATCTTACTTCCAGATCATTCTGGGGCCCAGAACAGGTGGTGGGGAAATAAGGCTCCATGCTATTTCATGCAGGCAGACAGGAAGAGGGGGCCCGGGGACAGAGCAGGAACCACCGTCTCTTGGGGAGAAGCTGGCCGGTGACCACCCAGGATCCCAGCACATACCCACTGGCCCCACACAGAACCTGGGCCACCCGCCCGGGATGGCCGGCAGCCCGCCCACGCCTGGCTCCAGTCAGATTGCAGGCGAAGTGCTAAAAGGCTCCAGACCCCCACGCCCGCCTCCCCCTCCTCCTTTCACTTCTCCCTTATCTCCCCCCTTTCCTCTCTCTCGGGCCCCTTAGGGAGCGGTCTCACCCGCCGGAGGGGAGACACAGGGTCCAGTATCTAGCCCTGCCGGGCCAGACCGCCCTTCCCAGCTTGGGGCAGGATGCTCCTGCACTCCGAAGCCCTCTTGGCCTGGCCTCTTTGAGACACGTTCCTTGCCCTGCCTGGAAGCTCATAAATACCAAGGAGAGGCCAATCAGGCTGTGTACAAAGCAGGACACCCAGCTCACACCCTCCCCCCTTTAGAGCCCCTGGGTTCTTCTCAAGCTCCTTCCCTTCCCTAGGCACCTGCATGGGGCAGCTGGGAGGGAGAGACAGAGGTGGGGCGGGGGGTGCCCGGGGCCTGTGTGAACCTGGCCCCACATCAAATGAGACTTGCCTCGGTTTGCAAAATCTCAGAAAAGGCTTCTCGGGGCCCCTTGTGCAAGCAGCAGGCTCAGGAATTCCTTGACTCCCATCCAAACCTCCCCCCAACCCCTACTTGGCCTTTCTCTCTGCTTGTTACCATCCACACCACCTCCCACCCACCGAGGAAGAGGGAAGGTCATCGCCAAAGGGGCCCTGGAAGGGTGTGGGTGGCTCTGAGGGGGGCAGCTTTGGGTGGAAGAAGAGCTGTTTACCCACACCCACAGGGAGCTCCCCTTCGCTCATCTCCACGCCTGCCCCAAGGCCAGTGAAAGTTCAGTGCCATTCAGCCCCGCATACCTAACAACAGAGTGAAAGACAATCTTAATTCCAGGTAGCCCTGTGGGGCAGTAGAGCCCTGAGAGGTCAAGAGTGAGAGGAACTTTGTCCCTGGCACACCTACTTTTGAGAGGGCAGGAGGCTGTGGTGCCATCTTGAGGAGGAAGGGGGAGCTGGCTCTACTGGCCGGGGGAGAAGCTGTCCAGCTGGGGGAGCCCCGGGGACCAGGGGCCTTGGAGGAGGGGTCTCTGCTGACACCATCTGCTAGCACGTGGCTAGAACTCCAGCCAAGCCCTGCGAGCAGCTCTCATGAAACCCCCTGTGCCCATGTCATTTACGATGCCCTGACCAGTCCTGAGCATACAGCAGGTGCTCCGTAAGGGCTGACCTGACTCTGT